TTTTAATCCTAACATTCTCTCTTATCCAAACCGTTTGCAACATCAAGAATCACTACTATCATTCAGCAAGCATCAAACATTCTTAGACTTAGCATATATAACCACAACGTCACATTACATTCCTAGCCTAACGTATAAGAACAACTACYGTTAACTAGTATTAGAGTTATCTAGCCAACACCCTCACCTTAGCCTTTTGGATGATCAAAAACAAAGGAGTGATCCTAGAAGGATGTGAATGTGCGTTCTGGGCGGTTGGATTCTGGAAAATAGCGATTCAAGTAAAAAAATAGTGTTTCTGGTTTTTGACAGAATCAGTGTTTCTTGACCAGAAAGAAACGTCAGTAACTCACCGAATTTATATCGGATTGGAAAGCCAAAAGTTGATCTGAAATTCTTGTAACGTCAGCTTTCTAACAGTACCAAAATCGTAATCTAACTCGTTCTGTAGCASCGTGCACCTTCCTCCAAAGTTAGCACTGTGAAAYCCGAGAACAGATTTTGGTCAGATAACTAGGGCGAACTTAAAACGTAAATTCCGGATTCATMTTACATCGGAATCCAAATCGGAAAAGAGCCCCAGAATCTACGAAGAATCCTCTTTCCAACGGTATATAGATCGTCGCCTAACTCCTCACGGAGCGCCGGAAAATCGCCCCGAAAGTTCACTGGTCGAATCTAAGACCAAAAATTCAGATTCAGATAACTGAGATTTTTTTCCGATATTCAAACACGAATTACGAGCAGAACGTACCTCGTAATTGGAATCGGAAAGAAGCTGTAGAAACTAGAATCCGTGATCTTTCCAGAGATAAAAGAATCACGATCTAATTCCTTCTGAGCCGCCGGCAATCAGCCCCGAAAAACAGCTACTCGGAACTAGCTTAACTGAGAAGGCAAGTGGGAGAACAATAGGGTTTTTCTCTAGCTGCGCAACTCTGATCCTCCTCTCACTTGYGTGGCTTATTATAGAGATRAAGGGGACTCTAGGTTAGGRTTTYAYTTAGCACTTGGGCCACACGTAAYGGGCTTTTTAGGTTTTGGGGAATTTTATGGGATTGGGCCATGACAGTTTTGCAGCCATGGTGCAAGTACTCTAGACCACGAGCAACTCCTAGCGCAATATTATATAGAGTCGTCCAATCCATATTCATCGTGTTCTTGCCTGAGATGAACTTATGAAGAGAACCATTTCCCAAAAATTCATATATAATTGCTCTTTTGGAACCTTCGGACCAGAAACCAAGCAAGGAGACAATGTTGAGATGAGAAGTTTGGCTCATGCTTGCAACTTCATTAATGAAGTCTTCACCATTACCCTTTGAGTCTTTCAAAACCTTCACCGCAACCATACGACCATCAGAAAGGGTACCTCTATAAACAATGCCAAATCCGCCTTTCCCAACCACTTCCGCAAACGACTTTGTAATTCTTTTCACCTGTGCATAAGTATAGTGTTTGAGTGGAATGAGGGCCTTCAGGTTCTGCTGTTTTAGGCGTGTTTCTCTCTTCCGGAGAAAAAGGAGAAACAATGATATTAAGGCCACAGACAAAATAACGCCAGCTACTGAACCAGAAACTAGAAAAACAAAAGTAATTCTTGAGTCAATAACTTTTTTTTTTTTTTTTAAATCAAAGAATCAAAAACAGTTCGAAATCTCAATGGCCAGAAGACAAACCTATGCGAACTGCTTTCACCAAAGTCCCTGTCCAACCATCAAACATGTGAAATTTGTCAGAATGAAACCAAACTTGATCTCAAAGCGGAAGAAATTAATGTAAAGAATAAACTCGGAGAAGAGACAATGGCTTACCATGACTTCTCTTTCTAGAGCCACAATTAACGCCACGGGTCCCATCGTCACAATAGCAGACGAATCCTTTTGAAGTCTGATTATATCCACAAGCACCCTTAGACTCTATGCACGTTGAACATTCCTGATTAAGTCCAAGCTTGAAACCTTGTTCAAGAATCTTCGTTAGATTATCTTCACTCAGTCTGTTCAACGCTGATCCTGACACAGGTATACTGACTTCTCTTGTGCAACTTCCCCTCAAGCCATTATCCCCGTCGAGTAAAGGGGACGAGTTGTTTCTCGTCACATAGTAGTTTTTGAAAGTTTTGCTATCATCCTTACAAAAAAACTCTCTTACTTTAAGAGCATCCAGAAAACTGTTGACGTCTTGGCAGTGGTAATAAATGGTTAGCAGCTCCGTGTCAGGAGTGAACAGAAGGACACTTTGGATGAATTGCACATTGAGTTGGTTACGGAGACAAATATTGTTGACATAATCCGATCCGGCAAGTCTTACAATACGAGAGTCATAGTTCGCCTCTAAGATTCTGAACTTCACAGAGGCGATGCTGAACTCCGCGAAACTTGCGTTGCATTTGAGCTTGAACTCGGGGTGGCCGCAGTCTTCTCTGCCAGGTATCCAAAAAGGGTACAAGAGACCGCCCTGATCACCGCATCTAAACGGTTGACTACAGCGAATGTAATGCTCATAATCTGATAAAGCACAAAGTTGGAATCAAAAAGAGCATCAACACAAAAGGAAGGACAAAGGTTTTGTTAGGGACATAGGCCTATTGGTCATTGTGTTCTCCTCTGTTTTTGTTGCCTTGCAGGTCACTGATTTGGAAACTGGTTTTGGTTTGGTATGGGTAGAAGTAAATGATGCTATGTTTGGTCTTTTAAACAAGGAAAATTAAGATCATTCACTAAGGGAACTGATAAAGCACAAGTTGGAATAAAAAAGAGCATCAAACCAAAAGGAAGGACAAAGATTTTGTTAAGGACATAGGCCTATTGGTCACTGTAAACTCCTCTGTTTTTGTTGCCTTGCAGGTCACTGAATAGGAAGTAAATGATGCTATGTTTAGTCTTTTAAACAAGAAAATTTTAAGATCACTAACTAGGGGTGGGCACAAT